AAATCAAGTCAATAAAATGCAGCTTGATTAAAAATATATCAATTTTTATATCTTGAAAGAATAGTTACCACAGATATAGACGACATTTATGAAGATTACAATCGATTTCGTAGAGCTAGATGTGCGTTCACGAATTTCAGAAAGGTTTGATTGCACGTTCAAATGAGAATCAAAATTTCTTATGCTTCAGTCAAATACGGTTCTGTCACACGGTTGGAAAACGTAACTCGTTACGAGCACAATCATACCAGTCAAGGTTGCCAATTTATTTTTTACAAATGCTCGCAATGAATATTAAGTATATATACATCAATAAAGACCTATAGACTATAAAGATCAGTTAATGAGGACAAACCTCTCATACATGAAAATGAAATCTTGCACGGATGCCGTCATTGAATCCGCCAATGCTTTCCAGCATTTCAACTAATAGGTGTACAAGACCCTCTATGCTTTACAAGCACTAAATTTAAAACTCGAAAAGAAAACGATCCATAAGTGTCTCAAATGAACACTTTCAAAATGTCATCAATTATAAACTTTAGTTCTATCTAACTATTCTTATTTAACGATTCTACCTAACCATTCTATCTGACCATTCTTATAATCATTGATAAATCAAAACCATATTTTATTCTTCCTCATTTGTCAGCGTATCACTAAATTTCTTCCCTTCTTTTCTATCTTTTCCTAATATAAATAAATCAGATTTTTTAAAGGTATATAAAATACAATTTTAATCGTTAGCCTGAGCGTACACTGCAATAAACCTTAAAATTAATTTTAAAACTATAATTTTTTCGTGGACAGCTTAATAAATTAAATATATAATTTCAAATTGAATTAATGTATATAATTCGTAAATCTATTGAAATAAAATTTTTTTATACATCGAAATTAATGGTAATACAAGCCACATGATTTCTGGTCGAAGTCAGCGGCGTCAGAAAACATCATGAAAATGGACGATTAACAGAGAAACAAACGAATGCCTCACAAAACTAAGAACACAATAGAAATAACCGGAAATTCTTTGAGCCAAAACTAAGCTTTTTTTGTACATTTTTAACATATCACAAAACAGAGAGACGTCCGGAATCACTTGGAACCACTTGCCTTATTAGATGACACCAAGTGCCACTCGATCTATTCAATAGGGATTACAACAACAACAAACAAAACTACGTTTGATTTCAACATTAGATATATCACAACATTATAAAAAAAAACCGAAGTAGTTATTGTATATATGATAAAGAAATTTAAAAAAACATGCAGAAGTTTAAGTTTAAAATAATATAATGTTGAGGATATCATGAGACATTAAAAAAATAATGATTAATACTAATAATAACCTTTTATCGTTTAAGAGCTTTGGAACACTTTTAATCTTATTTTAAAAAAATGAACTATGTCTTAAGACATTTATCAGTTCTAACAAAATTAAAATCAATTGTTAATATTTTATTCTCATTTCTCTAAGTATTGAACTAAATTCAATAATTGAAATAAGAGATGACAAAAAAGATCCGAAGCATCACTTTGAAATTGCAGCAATCTCTTCAAGTGCTAATATTAATTATATACATATATAATAAAGCACAATCTTTATTTATGAAATAATACTCGAAGGCTAAGGCTAATGTAATTGTTCGTATTATTCAAATAAAGATCTCATTTGTTGATATTATATATGCTTTTGATTTAGTTTACATACCTTAAAATTATAATTGCTTACAATTTAAATGCAAAATGTATCTCTCACACAAACAGATTATGTGACAGCTTTTAAGGAAAGTTGAAGCATATAAGCTTTAATTGTTCACGTATAATCAGAAATATATTTTAAATTAAATTAAGCAGTCTGTAAGGTTTTCACTTGATAGAGTAATTCAAAAACAAAGCTTTTATGCTCAACAGTTTACTTAATATCTAATGAGAATTTGCGAGCGACTTAAATTCAAATGTATAAAATCATTTGCAATATATAAAACGATAGTTCAAAGTTTAGCTATGCACCATTCAGATGTTACCGCCTTGTAACAAACAATAAAAATGTAACAAATATATTAATTGAAAAATTTTAACTAAAATACCACATAGACCTGATACTGTACTTATACTTGTAATTTGTTAATTATTTTAATACATATGTATAGATATATATATACATATATTGATATATATATACATATTTAAAGAGTCACCTGACTTGGTTTATACACTCGATCGGCTTAAACATCGTAACTAAGCAGTGGCGTGTCGTGATAACGTGCTGATGTATTGAAACTGGTACATGGTAGCAGCCAACATATCGGATGACCTCGACCGAAAACATCCGCCAGCAGAAGAAATTTACGTCGATTAGAACGATATGGTCCTTTTTGTTGTACTGCCTCAACCGCAGTTTCGTCATATAATATGGCATGCATTTGATCAACCATAATTGCTAGAACGAACAAACCAAATAGCGCCGACTCTAAAAGTAGTACAACGCTGTGTAGCCTACAAAAAAGTAAATTCATTAATAATTTTTTTAATATAAAAAATAATAATAATTAAATAACTAAATGCAACTTCATTAAAAATAATTTTACATTTTTAACAAAAAATATAATTGGAGATTAAGATAGATCACTATCAAAAACAAAAATTAAATACAATAAAAAATAAATAAAAATTAAAAAAAAAACTTTTAAGAAATAAAACGAAAAAAAAAACAAAAAAAAGTAAATACAAAACAAAATAAATACAAAAAAGTAAATACCCAAAAAAATAATTACAACAAAAAAATACAAAAACAATATATATACAAAATTAAAAACTATAAATACACAAGAAAAATAAATACAAAAAACAATAAATAAAAATTTAAAAAAAACTTTTAAGAAATAAAACGAAAAAAAAAGTAAATACAGAACAAAATAAATACAAGAAAAAAAAACAAAAAAAAAAATAAATACAAAAGTAAATTCAGATAATACACAACTCTCTCAAAAAAAATAATACCAAAAAACATATGTATACAAAAAAAAATAAATACAAAACAAAAATAAAACAAATACAAAACAAAAAAAAAAAACAAATACAAAACAAAATAAACAAAATTGTTCTTTGTCGCAGTTATTTAAAATGTTCTTTCCGGACACAAGCAGATCAGGCGAATACATGGGTTAAAATGTGAATAGATATAGGTTGTATGCAAGGGAAGAGGAGTATCTAAGAGTGAAAATGGATTGAGGGCTGATGGATAGAGGAATTTAAATTGAAGTCAACCAGGATCAAGGCGGAAAATATATATACGATCTATATATGCAGACCGTTCCTTTCCGTTTATATAGATATACATTAATAATAACTTATATTCACATCCGTACAATCATTTTAAATAAATCATTTTAAGTAATATTGCTGCAATTTTAAATGTTTGTTTAGTTTTTTCAAATTCTCTAGGTTTTCATTTTAATGCCTGAATTAACTCTTCACTAAAGCTGTCTGCATATTTTTAACTTAAAAGTGTTTAAAAATACGCATTTGCATCACGCGATGTATTATGGACAGGGTCTCAAAGGAGCTCTAAATACTCTAAAGTGTTTTTTTTTATAAAAAGCATACAACGTTAATGTTTTGCCGGATTTTACTTATAAAACAAACTTTTTGCTGTACAGAAGATTAATTAGAAAATAGAAAATGATTAAATCATTCGCAGTAAGTTTTAAGTCTTAATTATAATAATAATTGAGACTCACTGATGAATATTTTTTATAAATGCAAATCAAAATAAAACTAACAAATTTTATTCCCAAAAAAATTACACGCAAAATTTTTTTTACACGAATCTCTACGCGAAAATGTACAGCATGCACAAAAAAGTCCCGTTAAATAGCGTCGTATTTGGCGCTAGAGTCATCGATAACACCCGCTTCGATAAATTTGCATATAAGAAAAAATTTTATGTAGGAAAGCAAAAAATAGAAGCTAAAAATTCCTCAAAAAACTATGAAATCTGCTATTCTGGTATAAAACAGTTATTCGACATACTTACATTCTTGTTTGGGATTCAATCACATTTGCGTTACATTCCTCACAAGGATATATCCAGGACCCGACAACGAGCGCCGCCGAGTACAATGATAAGAGACCAACATAAACTAGAAATTGCAGAAAGAATTTCTGGTTGCGCTCACCCACACAATTATTTATCCATGGACAATGATGATCCATGCGTCGTATGCACCTTTTGCAAATCCTGCAATGATGCGCACGTGGTGGTCTATAGGTTTCACAACGTGTGCATACAGTCCATTCATTATGTCCATTTGCACCATTATTTTTACCAGTAGTATGCAGGTCCGAGAAGTCTAAGCGATTTGCAGGCAATGGTACTGTGCCAGGGTCCGAAAGAACTGCCTTGAGGTGTGACATACTCAACAGGAAAACGACTGTGTTGAATAGCACAACATGCAATGGCGCCCATATACTAATTGGAGAAAAAATTGCATTAACCAACATAATTATGGAAGTAATATTCTAATAAGAAAATACCTGGCCTGCATTGTCTGCATAATAATCCATCGCATTACAACATAGTCCGCATAGAAAACCGCACCGTAGGTAATAATAAGGCATACAATGCCGCACGGATCGCGCACAAACATGATTAATTCACTTTAAAAAAAATTAACAGTTAACAGTTAGTTTCTAGGAATGGTGATATTTGCGGCGTCAGTTCTGTACAAATTTTGACAAACAAAAGAAAATAATTTCAACATATCACATTCACCATAACTGACATATATATCTTTGTACTTTTAAATTTAATTTAATTTGATTTGAATTACATATAACATGAATTTTAATGTTTTCTCAAAATGTTCTTTATTTATGAAACCCGCAACACTCCACTACCACCTTCACACCTAGCATGATAGCTTACGAATGTCTTTGATAATTATTTGTCAGATATGTCATAAACTGACAAACAGAAATAAGTGTTGTAAAATGATAATTTCTTTGTAAGCATACTATGTCACAATCTATGGTCGTGTGCGAGTTAGGCTAAGTTGCGTTCTAAATGAGGGAAATTCTAAGTTGTGTCGATAATGTATT